TGCCTTCGGCTCAGGTCATGATCCTGGAGTCCCGGGATCGAGTCCCGCATCGGGCTCCCTGCTCAGCAGGGAGTCTGCTTCTCCCTCTGACCCTCCCCCCTCTCATGCTCTCTGTCTCTCATTCTCTCTCTCACAAATAAATAAAATCTTAAAAAAAAAATACATTTAGTTACTAATTTGGTAATAAACAAATAGATTAACATTGTTTAATCCTCACAAAATCACTTTGATGTAGTTTCTTTTGTTGTCTTCACTTTGAAAATGGGGAAATGTCCTTGCCCAAGTTACCTGACTCTTGTCCAGGCTCATATGGCTAAACTTGGAGGCAGTATGTGTGGAACCCAGAATGGATCATCACCAGAAGCAGCACTCTCGATTTTACTCTCACCAAAGGCATAAATCTACAAGACAAATAATGCGATAAAAGAAGAGCTCGAAGACATGGAGGCTACAGGGGTTTTCCCATCACATGTGCAGAGATGGTCTGCTCCTTGTGGTCAGAGTGAAGGCATCTGTACGGAGTAGCTGTGCTGAGAAGAAAATTACCATTCAAGAAGGAAGCCTGATAGTTTGTTGTCACTGCTTATTATCTCTGCTGTTGCCTTTGAAAACAATTTGATCGCTGTTGACATACATAGTCTTGATGATAAATAGGAACATTTTCTACAGTACTGCATAGATCTCAATACAAACAGATTCAGAGACACATCTTTTCTATTTTGATTTTTAATTCATCTGTGGTCCTAGCATGTGTGTGCTATAGGAGGAACGATGGGTTATCTAATTTTTGTAAAGGGCTTTTAAATATACCTGAGGTGACATTTATGTAGAATTAAAAATACGGCAGAACGAGTCACTGAGTGTGAAACAGAATTCCAGTTGACTGATGAGCCCCCCAGGCACATCACTGAGGGCTTTATGTTATTCTTCTTTAAAGCGGTTTCCAGATATTCTGTTATCATGACAATCCTCCTCAAAGTCTGGATCTTCAAAGTGACCTTTTCCCTACACTGCCCAAAATAGAAATTTCACTCCATCTCTGCCTGTGGCAGTAATAAAACAACCCTGATATTCAACCTCCTTCCAGATTATACAGTTTATAATAGGATATCATCATAACTTCTATCCAAAGTATAATATCTATCCAATTAACCTTGAATATTTTTAAAGAAAGCTCACAATAGAAAAGATAATTGCATAGTTGTCAAAAATTATGACTAACCAGGTACAATAGGGTCTGTAAAATAATTCCTATCAAAAGATTAACATTTACCATGTCGCACTAATGAAACATATTGTAAGAGATTTAAAAATAAATAATTGGAAAAAAATGGCAAGTAGTGATTGCATGCAAAACATACAAATAAAATGAACTAAAAATGTAGAAAAATACATTCAACATAAAGAAATACATTTTCTATATTTGACATAAGACTATGTCCTGCCATATAGAAATAGAAATTATTCACCCTCAATACTTGTTAAAGAAAGAACATGTGAAATAAAATGCTTTTCTTGACTGTTTGTGGTGTCACGAGGTTATTCTATGAAACTTTCTACCGTATCCCCTTAGTAAAAGTCAAAGCCTTTAAGGTACAGTCCTTGGTAAGAAATAGCAAGGAAACCTTTCACACATATAGAATGGAGAAAATTGCTAAAGAAAGAGAAAAAACCTCCCTTGACAGATAAGCAATAGCTCTGCTTACACAGTAATTTATGGTAATATCAGAAAGCTTTTGATAAAATTTCACACATATTGCAGGGTAGGACATTGGAGAAGATAAAGGACTCAAAGAGATAGGGGAAAATTAAACCATTTATAAGAGGGGGAGGTATTTTGTAAAAAATATTTGGCAATTGGTTTTGATAGTCATAACAATTTATGTAATTTCTGTGTGCATTAGGTACTTGCTGTCTGAGAAAGTGGCAGCCTAACATTTCCCCCATTGCTACAAAAAGTAATTTTTGAGAACAATAAATATGGAAAGCTTTGAAAATACACACACACACATGCACACGCACAAAATGATAGTAACACATTCAGGAATGTTTGTGAGCAAAACTTCCATCGTTTGACTAGTTTGGGCCTTTTAAACGCTTATCTTTGTTTTATTTGATAGCAAATCAATTTTCCCATAAAATAATTTTGCCTTTGGGGTAACATAATGAAAAAACCATTTAAAATATATTCCTCTAAATACCGAAAAGTATTGTCATACTAGATATACAGTAAATAAATGAAGAAATAGTCACACAAGTTGCTACTTCCCTTCTTTTTATTGGAAAAATATAATGAGCCTTAAGTTACACATGTCTCCATCAACCCCTGAAGCTCTTATTAGGGTCAGAACCTGAATATAACATATTTGTCATTCTATAGAATTTTATATTTTGAATTTTAAAGTACCATTTGATGCTCTGATTTCACCAGCTATACTAAAATATATAAATGGCATCATCAAGGAGTTTTCAAATGTATTTTAAAAATCTTCTTCGGGGCGCCTGGGTGGCTCAGTCGGTTAAGCGTCTGCCTTCGGCTCGGGTCATGATCCCAGGGTCCTGGGATCGAGTCCCACATCGGGCTCCCTGCTCGGCGGGAAGCCTGCTTCTCCCTCTCCCTCTCCCACTCCCCCTGCTTGTGTTCCCTCTCTTGCTGTGTCTCTCTCTGTCAAATAAATAAATAAAATCTTTAAAAAAAAAAAATCTTCTTCAACAACCATGTTCAGGAAAGTGACTCTGTCTTCCTCTGATCTACAGTGTATTTTTGACTTCTGATTGTCATTCTTAATGATTTCTCAACTCAGTTTCTGACCACAGCCGCTATGGAGATCTTCACTTTAGGCAACATAAAAGATTCTGTCGTTCAAAAAAAGCATATTATGAGAACTGTGTTCTTTGTTTTTGAAGAATACTAACAGGAAAATTTGGAAGAAGAAATGCCAGCCTGTCTCTGTTCTCCCTAACACATTTCTCCTGGGGCAGAGTTTTAATGAATAGTTCTGGAAACTTCTTAAACAATATGTGTCACTGACCAGAATGGTTGACCCTTTCAAGCTGGCTGATTCTATTCAATAAAGATACTATCAGAATCTGAAGTAACTGCTTTGAGTTTTTAAGGCATTTTGAGGAAATATTTTGTAAGAGTGGGAAGCATATTTGAATGCCATTCCCATGTTTCTTTGAGAATGAAAGCTGATCTGCAAGGGCGTTAAAAGTATTACGGGCTCATTTCATTGCAATTTTGGGAGCTGGGAGGGAGGCTGGGAGAATCAGGAGTTGGGTGGGGGTTCAAGAACATTGAGGTGAACACTATTGACCCTCTGGAAAATTGCTAAGTGCTGGAACCCACCCTAGAAGGCTCATGTTATGAACTTTTAACAACAGTTGTGCAGCTCTCTTGAAAATTTACACTGTCATTTTATTTATAGCAGATGTCTCTTAAAGCAAACATTTTTACTTTATACTATACAAATCTTACGGAAAATTGCAAACATAATGTGAGTTTTGGTCATGCTGTAGAAATCTACAGTATTTTCTATAATGGATTGTGAGCAAGGGGAAAAAGCTGATACTGATCTAAGGCTGAAGGATAAAGGGTAATCAAAACAAGGCTTCTGTGGATGCTTTTATGGAACGTGTTTTAAAAGAAAAGGCAAAAGTTGAAACTGTGGATTAAACCAACTAAATTAAATCATCTTGTATTCAAAATACATTCTGCACTTCAGAATAAAATGGCCAGAAGTCAGTGTGAGCCTTAAGAAAGAAATTCAGTTGCTTAGATAAATCCCCTGTCTGGGCTGTTTAAAAAGAAGAAGGAGAAGGAGAAGAAGGAGAAGAAGGAGAAGGAGAAGGAGGAGAAGAATGAGGGGAAGTGGGAGGGGGAGGGGAGTTTGACTTGGATTTTCCCAAGTAAAACTTTTACTTGTTTCTTGTGTACATTCAGTGAAAAACAAAATCTAAAAATGCATTTTATTTTTCTAGCTAGTTCTGAATTGTAGTTATCCTGTAACTCAATGTTGGGTATAGGTACTTAAATACATGTCCTGTGGCTGCTTAGCAGTAGTTCAACTGCTGATAAAGAAGTTGTAACATTCGAAATTCAGCTTTTAATATAAAGATATAATGTGCAATTAAAGGAAAGAGTAAATTCTGTTTGGAAAGTCACACTAAGAAATAGAAATAGGAAAAATAAACAAGAGATACTACAATTTTACAGAAATAAATGTCAGCAACTTTAATTTTCCAAGGAATAGTTGATCCAGGTACAAATATTTACTCCTATATTTGTTTTCCTAATTAGCAGAAGTTAAAAATAGAGAATTATATAAATTTTGGAAATTGAAAGCCAGATAAATAAAACCTGTATTTCTGAGAATACGCTCTTCATTATGCAGGGTTTGTTACAAGACAAAAAGTAAGTCATTAAAGTAATGTGGCTGTTATGTTTTCACAGGACTTTGTGAGAGTTTGAACCAATACAACAGCATAATCTCTCTGGACTTTAAAAACACAAATCCGTGACAAGGACATAAGATTGATAGAATTAGTAATCATATATTTTATTACTTATGTTATAAATTTATCATTTCAAGGACACCATTTGAAATGACACCCGGTGCATTACAATGTGTGGATTCCTATGCTGTTTTGCATTAATATGTGCAGACAATTTTTACACTCTTAACAATCTGCCATTGGTGTTTCATTGGGTTACTTACTATTATTATTCTGGTCACAGATGAGGGTTAAAATATCTCTAACCTTTACAAATGTATTACGTGGCACCATTGACATAGCTTTTATTGCAGATAAAATCTATGACAAATTTTCAGTATGACAGAAGAAGAACATGATTTCATATTAAACTCTGATGATAGAAACATATTTCTCTGCTTGTACTTCTGAAATGTTTTGGGTATAGTAACAATGGGCAATACTTGCTCTTCCATTACATCAATAAAATCTCAAAATCCACTTCATTTTTATGGGTCCAGAGCTTCAGTAAGTATTTCTTAAACAGAGCTGAAAAACAGTGCAAAAAAATTGTTCAGAATTTGGCTCACTTCTAACCTTGCTGATCAAAACAGACAAAACATTCCTGGTTAGACATAATGAGAAGCAGAAAGAGGAAGCCACAAAAGAACCTAGACATTGAGTGTTGCCATGAAGGTGTACAAGAGCTTGAGCAAAAGTTTCTCAAATACAAGTGTCAAGATAATGGCAGGTCCCTCTGACAGTCATTTAAAAGAAATCATAAAGCCTATTATAGTAACTTTATGGAGTTATAAAAGCATTTGAGTTGTAAGGGAACCACAGACTTATAAAATGTTTCTGACATTCCATCAAAAAGTTGGTATTATGACATTTTGTCATAATACATAATCATATAGTCAAGGAATGATTAGAAGTAAATCCATAATAGCAGATTTTTTTAATAAAACAATCTCACATTGCATTCCAGACATCTTTCTCTTCTCTTTCCTTAGTTTTAATAAAGAGAAAGGTAGAGAGAGAAGTCCATTGTTTCTCCTGATCCCTTTCCCAGACAATCCCTTGGAAAGGATGCGACTTCTAATTGGTCCATATTTTTTTCAGGTATTGGATTGTGAAGAAGCTCAAATAAGTCCATGTCTGATGACCTAAACTATCCAATATTATACTGAACACCCCCCTCTTCAAAGTTACCTAGTTAGAAGAATGTGTCCCTTTAAATTGCCAAGATGCCTCACAGCTAGATCAAAAACTGCATGGATTGTGTTCAAGGTTCTGAGGATGTGCTGAACCTGAGTCTCCAACCACTGCTTTCTCTGCATGGCACTAGAGACTGGCCCTAGACTATTTTGGGAATAGGTGTTTAATCATAAGATTACCTGAAACCAGACTCAAGCTTAACATACGGAGTAGCCAACAGTCACATGAACATGAATATGGCTCTCCCTGGCCCCCAAAATGTAACATGTGGCTTTAATTTTATTTAATTTATTTATTCTTGCAATTTACTTAAAAAAAAAAATCTTTGCCCATTGCCTAAGCCTTTGGGCACATGTGTATAATAAAAAACACTGCTGAACATAAATAATGTATATTAACTTTGTCTATTATGATTCTCCAGAAAAGTCCATCAAAGTGACTTATTTTATAGTCAGGAGTCTCAATTGAAAATCTATTAGCAAAATAATTCTATTAAGTTGTATGATATTTCTAACATCAATTAATTACATTTATATCCAGCTCTATAGTGTAATGACTTCGCAATATTAATTTCGATTTTAATTTAGGAAGAGAATTTGTAAGTTTGCCTCAAGTTTTAGTGTTTAATGGATTTTCTACATTTAGACTGTCCAGAAATTAAGACTTTTCTCCGTTTTTTTTCTAATTGAACAACTGGTCATTTCAAACTTTCTCTTTTATGAGTTTTTTTTCTGAGTTAAACAACTTAATTTGCTTTGGGACAGTAAAGAAACTCAGTAAATAGACAAACTAAAAGTTCCTACATAATAATGGTTCTCTTTTGCTATGTACCTACCACTATGTGACCAGTAACTCAGATTCACAAATACTGGAATTTCCTACAATTGAAGATGGACAAATGCAATAATCTGATTTTAAAATAAATATGTCATACCTGACATTAGTTAATAAAACCAACTAAGATGTCTATAGGTCAGCACTAAGTTGATTCTTTCCCACAATAAACAAGTTTTACATCTGGTCATTTCAACCAATTAAACTAACTCTGAGATTACCTGCATCCTGATCCCAGCTCCTCCCTAGGGAAGTCACATAGTTCTCTGTGAATCTTCTTTCTTCATTTCTAACAAAAAAGTTTGATCATGAAATGAGGTAGTAGTTGAAAGTGCTTAGAACAGAGACTCCCACAAGAAATCAGTAAATGTTTTTTACTATCATTAACATTATCATTCAACCTAATATTGTTCAAGCTTTCGCTTTCAACGTGTTACACTCCTTGCCTGACATGATCTGCCCTTCCCGTCTTGTCCTTGTAAATTAAATATTTTCTTCATGCCTCAGCTAAGCACCAGTCCAACGTGATCTCCTCTTCTTGGAACTTATGTCGCCCCTCTCTCCCCATCACAGCTTAGGATATGTATTATTCTCTTAACATTTCTTACATTCACAAACATGTACGAGTTGCTTTAAGAAAGGAATACTTGCTATGTTTCTTGTGGCTAAATTTGACATGTAATACATGCTCCACAACCAGGTCACAATTAATGCTGCACGAATCCAAAGAGTTCACTAGCCACTCTTTCAGACATCAATTACTTGTCCTGGGCAAGTTAGAGAACCACATTGTATCAGCGGAAATCTAGCTTGTTTTGTTTTTGTTTAAAAATAACAACTCATATTCCTTTAATGGCAACTCCATAGCTGCCTTTGGACTACAAAACACAGACTTACCCACTAAAATTCTTTGGATTGAGTCCAACAAAGCCCAAGATGATACAGTTTCTCTCTATAATGCAGAATTTCCAAAATAGCTTATAATGTCTTATGTTGCATTATAGAATAGAAATAGAGATTCTTGGATATGTCTGTCAGGATCCTTCGATTCCCTGAAGCCAAAACAGATACGTCCACTATTATTGACTCAGTTCAGGGTTACAACTATTGGGCATAGTGTTTATATACTTGCAATTCTTGTTATCACCAATGGGAGTTTCAAGTATTTAAGATTTATACAGGGATTTCATTTGAGTCCATTAATTGGCTCGGATGAAGGGAAGGTAGTTGTTTCAATGATAAGATGCCTAGAAGATGATCTTTTAAGTGTTTTAATGTCCTCGCATTACTAAAAAATCTGTTTGCATATTAAAATGAGACCACCAAAAATCTCATTTCATTGCTTATTTTGTTTTGTTACTTTGCTAAAAACATAGCTCTTATCTAGTTGTCAATCTTGTCTTCTCATCATAAACCAAGTTCTTTAATTCTTCCACTGTGTCATAAAAGATTCAATAAATTCTGATTTGCATTTCAAATTCAGGTCTTTCTTTAGAAGGACATCAGATTCAATGATAATTACATCACTAATCTCTTTAGCACTGACAGTGGGAAGCCAAGCTCAGGCTCCTGCTGACTGAAGTCCCAAATATGGAAGGTCATATAATGTTCTTTATCAGTAATAGTGATATTTTTGTGTGAATTCTTCATTTCATTTTTTAATCAATATGTGCTCATTTAAGCCATTTGCTTGGGGTAGATATTTTATACTGTCTCCTCATTTTATTAAGAAATGTGTATCTTACTATTTTTGCTACAGAAAGAGGAAACTTTCCAATATTATCGGCCACGTGAATTTTTTCATTATTTTGTTCTTCTAAAAATATTACTTGAGGAAATTATTTCTATATAATTTTAGGGAGATGCTTTTCCATTTTGGTTTTGTTACTGTTTAAACAATTAAAATGACCGAAAGTTTTAAGTACTCATATATGAATGTGTATATGTTTGTTCATGTGTGTCTACACATACTATCTATAAATATTTTGGCATTCAGTACCAAGGAGAAAGCTAAATTTAGCCCTTGAATAAATGTTCTGTGAATCAGTCATTGCTACTCCAGATTCCATATAATTTTTTCCTCTACTTTCAAACACTTGTCACAGTTACAGCAAATTTTATGGCAGAAACTATACACAGTTACAGAAATTGTATTTCTAATAATAAATTTTTCTGATTCTGTAAATAAATAAACAATATAAATGTACATGGAAGTCATTATAACAATTTAGTATAAATTAATAAAGTGACTATCAAATATAGTGTTATGCACATAATATGGGCAATGGATAGAAACAAGAGAGGAATTTTTAAAAGGAGGTAATATAAATTTCCAAATTATTTAAGTCACAATTTTAAGATGTTTGAGTTATCCAGACAAAAGCTATTAACTAATAAATATTTTTAAATTCTAAATTTTCATCAAATAAGATACTTGCATAAAAAGTTTATTTTAGAAAGCATAGGGATAAGGTTGAGTGGAGAAGTACACTCAGATCACAAAAACAAAAAAGCATAAATGTCATTTCTGTATTTTTAAATCAATATATCTGCTTTGACTGCATTGAAACTTGTAGTTAACCCAAACAGCTATTGCATATGCATATCATTTCAAATATAAAATGGGTACTTAATAAACACTTGTTAAATTAGATTAAAGGGGGGAAATCAGTAAATTAACTTATTGTGACAAAAAATTCCATTATTATAACAGAAAAATCTAGTTAATAGCCTAAAGATTTGATTTTATTCCATAAAATGGGGTGTGTGTGCGCGTGTGTGTGTGTAGACTCAAGTTCAGAAAATTTTAGAAATAGTATCAAAAAGAAATCCAAATAAAAAACAAAATCCAGAGGCACCTGGGTGGCTCAGTCAGTTAAGCGTCTGTCTTCGGCTCAGGTCATGATCCCAGGGCCCTGGGATCAAGCCCTGCATTGGGTTCCCTGTTCAATGGGAAGCCTGCTTCTCCCTCTTCCCCTCCTTCTCCCTCTATCTTCCTCTCCCTCTGTCTCCTTCTTCCTCTGCCTGCCACTCCCCCTGCTTGTGCTCGCTCTCTCTCTCTCTGTCAAAGAAATAAATAAAGTCTTAAAAAAAAATGACCATGTAAATACTTAGGAAGTTAGAAAGAGAGGAAGGAAATTTAAAAATTGATTAAACAAATAAATATTCATTTATCAAAAATAATATGTTGATACCAATGACGTAATAAACAGTAACTTTTCTTGATAAAGAATACTTATAATCACACCAATATAAGACTAAGTAAATGTTTCTTTTGTCCTCCCCTTCCTGTCTAAATGCTTTATTTTGCACATTTTATAAGAAAATAAAAAAATGAATTTTGCAGCTACTATTTTTATATATTACTGCATGATAAAATAAAATAATGTTTATTTGTTAAAACAGTTTTATGAATATCTCTATTACTTAATACATAGAAACTTATAAAAGTACGTATATAAATATAGACATATAAAGATTTATTGATTGTATGATATTTAGAATAAAAATAAATCCGTGTGAAAAAAATAAATCTGTGTGATCAACTGAAACTAACTTTTTATTTCTTAGAATCAGTCTGATTATAGAAAAATATCAGCAATGTGGTCTCAGTGAACAAAATACTCTCTAGGCGTTAGTAGCAAAGCTGTGACTACTGAAACTAGAATAACTAAATAAAAAAAAAAAGAGATCTGTATCATTATTTAAACAATACCCATTCATCCAGATATTAAGAAGCAGTTGTTCAATATCTTCTGATTAAACACATAATCAAAAAATGGTGTCTTGTCAACTAAATAACTGAATGATTTGACTGATGTTTGGGCATTATGTGGACATAAGTACTTGTTAAAGACCTGGATGAGTTCCAGAAAGTTGTTTACACACACAAAGATAACGCAGTTGTATATGACTTTATTACCATATATGACGTGAAGAAATTTAAGTCTGGGGGAGATTAAAAGTTTTCTAATTTTTAGGGGGCAATGTATAAGTATATTCTTGTTCAGAATTGTCTCCTTTCCTTCAACCTATGCAGCTACGAAAAGAGACCAAAAAATGTCTCCTTGTAGAAAAAGAGACTAATGGGAGGGCATAGTTGGCAAGCAATGGAAGACATGGTTGACAGGGCATAAACAGAAGAGACCCCAGGGCAGAAAGTGTGTGGGAACAGTGTTGCATGAACAAAGGAGTAGGTGGGGATTATACAAATTTAGGGAAGACGGAACTGTACTGAAACTAGAGCGCCTCTAGTTCTCAGACCTAAAATGTGCACATTCACTTGTCCTGGTTTTCTGGAATTTCAATATTCTAGACATAGACATTACCACACTGCTTTGAAAAAGTGCAGAGATTAAAGCAGAGTATGCATTTCATTTACTGAATTTATCGGAAAGCTTTTGCCTAAATAACTACCCTTTCATTACGAGTATAGGAAAACATCGTTTGAGATGTATATTCTTAGGCAGAGGCAAAAATCAAAAAGCAGAGGTTTGGTTAAGATGCCACGGAATCAAAAAACTATTTTAATGCAACTCCAGCTATTCACTTTGTGATTTTTATGGACATGTAGATTTAACCAGAAAAATAAGTAACTAGAGAAAGAGAAACCCATCGGTTGTGTCTTCAAGAGAATCTGAGAAATTAGACTCAGAAATAGGTTTGTATAGACAGACTACCTTGGTAATTCCTGTGTTTTCAAGGAAGAGTGTTGGAATTACGTATGTCCTCATCCAAATCATATTTCACTCTGTGGAAAGAGCTAAGCAATAAAAACCATCTTTTAAATTCCTGAGCTTCTGCAAATCCTGCCATCACCAACTAACCACCAAGCTTTCCTCCAAAAGTACTGCCATTGATTTGCTCTTCCCAAAGTCTTTATATTTCCTGGGAAGGATCTTTAATTGTATGTAAATAATAAAGAAACACAATGAAAATGTGAAATGAAATACAATATAACAAAGTTCTGTTAGGCTACCCATAGCCCTTAGCAACTTTCTTTTAATAAAAATTTAGGCCTTTCCCTTATGGTCTTAAATTCACATTTTTGTACTTAAGATACCTAGGGAAATTAGTAGACAACTGAATGCTCTAAGTAAACCCAGAGAGCAGAAAATGTGTTGGACTCTATTGTAAAAAGTCGTCAGAAAAAATTCTGAGAAGTGTGGTTTATTACAGTGCTCAACAGTATTTAAATAAATTAGTTATAAAAATAATAATAATACTGAACATATTGAACTGATTTGAGTATAAGAGTTTCAAATGTTTTCAGCCAGGCACTTGTCTGACATTCAAGTAAATTTCATAGACTTTGCTTTTTGTTTCCTTTGCTTTTCATACCCCAAGGCCAATGCTTAAAATAACTCCAGACTCAGGTTCCCTATATCATCCTCATCTGTGTTCCCCAAGACATTTCTTCTATCCCCTGTTCTACCTACATTTCTCATCCATCAAAAGAGCTATCCATGTCGTTTTCATTTGCACTACATTCTCACTATGCTATGCTTGAAATCCATTCTATGGGACCATGTTCGATGTAAAAGTGTTATAACAAGATCCTTCTGGTTCATTTGGTAATAAACCCATCTGGATTTGATCCAACATGTACTAGTTTGATAGCAAACCTGACCTATTAGGGCTAGAATTACACTAAGGGTCCATTCCACATTGTTTCTTAGTTAAATTATGATCCAGTCATCAAGGATTTTTTTTTTAAGATTTATTTATTTATTAGAGAGAGAGAGAGGTGGGGGGAGGGGCAGAGGGAGAGAGACTCTCAAGCAGACTCCCCACTGAGCACAGAGCCCGATGCAGGGGGCTCCATCTCAGAACCCTGAGATGATGACCTGAGCTGAAATCAAGAGTCAGGTGCTTAACCGACTGAACCACCCAGGCGCCCCCAGTCATCATGGATTTTAGGCAGCAAATTATGAAAACTAAGTTTACACAA